ATATCGTGCAAACTTGCAGGATAGAGGAACAAGCTTTTCTGAGTCCTTGCACGAATGGTCTATATAAGCAGTGGAGACTGTCTTTGATGCTTGCTAGGAACGTTTCTCTTTACTGCATTTGCACTTCTGTTATCATGCCTGATACTACAGTGTGTACTGGTGCAAAGCATTTAAATACCAATAACATAAATAGCATTACCATTCATTCTGTAATCAAGGGAAGTTCCATCAGAAAGCACTCGTCCATATACAACCTGTGACAACCAAATAACACAAATTATTATTTGAAAACAAACACAGGAAATCCTTGAATTGGCACCTGGGACACTTTTTTTCAAATTTAGGTGAAGACAGGGGCACTTATTCGAGTGGGGTGCTTTATGAAGAGGGGGCGCATATTTAATTTTTCCCAAATCGTGGCCTGACATGATCATTTTTTTTTTAATATGTCATCTGCTCATAAACAACAACATAAGCTGTTTATCACGGCACCATTAGTACTTGTCATTTTTTTTTCTAAACTTAACGTGTTCACAAACTGAAAGAAGAAATTGTAGGCTGCAACTTAGAAGGAAAGAAACCTGTTTCCTGTAAAGATGTAAATTACTTATGACTATAAAAAGGCTGGACAAGAGTGATGAAAACTATACACCCTTTGTTGTCTAATCACTCGTCCACAAAATGAAGGGAGGGGAGGGGGCACCCATTACTTCAAATTTTATGAAAATTGTTCCCTTAGGCAACTGTTTTTAGTCTAAGAAATGAAAATTGTAAGAATTGCAATGTTTTTATTGTTGCAAATCAAAAAAAAANCTGATTGTCGATTCAGGCGACCGTTGATATTATGGAGGTCAGCTGGTCAGCGAATTTGTGAAAGCCAGCCCCACCCTGCACAATGACCTTGTGGGAATGCTGCTCAACACCAAGGTCAGTAAAAAAAAAAAAAAGAAGTAGAAGGGTTTTATCTTTCAACCTTTATCATTTCACAAAGGGAGAGAAGCCACCACAAAATCAGAAATATGAGAAAAACAGACAGGATCAAGAGAACAATGTCCAAATTGGATATTACCAATCACAATATTAATTGTAAATGCCTATGCATATAACTTCTCAGAACATCTTATAGGGTGCATATCCTGCTACCGCAGTATGTACACCGTACATGTGTACAGTATATTTATTGATCAGTGAATAAGTGGGTTCATTTACCCCCCACCACCCCCCACCTGCTCCCTTATCCTGGCTGCTGTGTTTCAATCCTTCCATTCACTTAGCACCATCTCAGGAAAAAGCTTACTCTCTTCCAAACCCTTTCACCAATATTTTAAAGTTTATCTAGTGCCAACAGAGCAGAAATGACTTTGGTAACCCTGTGAGATTATCTTATTCACAGAAGGGTGAAGATGAAAAATGGGATGACCAGAATGATGTAGTGGAATCAGAATTTTTCGAACCTCCAAGGGAAACGAAAAATTATTTGTTTGAGAGAAGAATGTTTGTCTGAGGTTCGAGCCTCAGGATGTTTGATAATTCGGGGTTGCACATATTACATAATTTTCATGCAAAATGAGATCACAGACTGTACAGAAGCAAAATGCATACATGTACCTTTCCAACTGGAAGCATATAGATGAATGCCTGGAGTAGGATCCATCCATCGACAATCAGGTGGCCAACGTCAAAAAATCCACCATGAAGCGTCCACAGTGGCGGAAGAGACGGTAACCGGCGGATTGTGCACGGTTCTCTTCCGCTACAGAACAAGTAGGATGACACAACAACAGCTGGTAGAGCGATCATCATCCACAACACACCAAACGGACC